TCCCTACAATATACCTGATTTAGATTTTTCCCTCCCACTGTGAATAAGTTGCTACAGTCTATCAATATCTCGTGCGAATAGTAACACTGGTAAATGTTCCCAATGAAATGGGCAATTTGGAGCCATTTCAAATCTCGTGCAAAAGTGGCCAGGATTCCCATAACTTCTCAACGAATGGTGATCATTATGTTTGCCCAACATCCGTTCTTCACAAATCCGAAATTCTTACACGGCAACACGAACGTATAAACTCTTTATGGCTATTGATAATTGGATTTTGAAATGGCATCAGTCATGCATCAGTCATATCCTTCCTGTGACAATCATTTTTTCATAGACCTGTAGGGCTTGATGGGCTCGGATGAAGGTGTGTTGCTAGCAAGGAAGCCAATATGAAGGATGAGGAAAGCATCGATGTATGAGGTTTCTCTACTCTAATCTACTCTACTCTTCTATTTTATTATGACCTAGAGTAACCCTGATCTCGGCCCCATGAGTACTTATTTGTCCTTTCACTAGAGGTATAAGAAAACTGTCCCTACGGGAGCACTTAAGTGTCTTTGTCGAGGAAATGCAAAAAAAACGGTTGCGACATTTGCGTTATATTTTGGAACTGAATTCAAGGGAATTGAGGTCATGCAAGTAATGATTTTCATTGCCTGGTCCATAAGAACTTCACAACTTGACAAGGAGGCGAGTTGTCTCAAGGAAGAAGGTTTACGTCCTTCAGCACTTTATAACATAACCTGTAATAATGCTCTTATTAATGCATAGAACTGGAACTGAAGGCAGTAACAAACCAGAGAATATGTATATGCATTACGCTTTATGGTATGAGGTCGGTGAGCCTACTCATTAGCTTTAAAAGCTCATGTCTAGATTGGGTTGGAGGAGGTTAACTCGGAGAAGCTCTCAAGGGATTATCGATTTCTATCACTCCTATTGGCTAGAATTAGCCAATATGGTTGGCTATCTATGCCACTTAATATAATATCTCGCTAAGTTTATTTGTTGCTTCATTTCCTTAATCGTGAGGCCTTCTCCTTGCTTATATTCCCTACATCGAGACTTGACCTCCTTTCTTTTCTTTTCCACGCATCGATTTGCACCCCCCTTCCGTTTTCCTTCATGCAAAGCTAATTTCTCTTTTTCTTTTTTACCCAGCCCCTAGAGACTAAAGTCAAGTTGGCTGGTAGACTTACAGGATACCATGAAGACCCTAGAGGGAATACATCTTCACTTCAGCGCATCTTTTTAAGATATCTGTAGAAGACAAACAAGGGTGGGATTGTCGATTGTAGTGAAGTCCTCATGTCCAGAAAGTAGGTTATCATGTGACCAGACACTTTTAGCCGGGATACCTTAGCTATCCGCTTTACTCCCGCAAATTACCATGTTTGTCAAATTCAAATCGACGTCTGTGAAAAGTATTAGTGCGAAAGTAGCATATAAGTCTGATAGTCCTTTAAATTTAAATCCGATAGATGCTGCACTAATTCCTTTCACGTATAACAATAAAGCAAAAGTGCAAGAAAATGCAACAACGTATTATAGAATTTATTTAATACTCATATATTGAATCGTAGTGTACGCGATAGTTTACCTCCATGTGACGCGCATTGAGCAGCGTATACTCATAGGGCAAAAAGTCCATAAACTGACATTTGACTTTGACTTCAAACTACCATAATCCTACTGTATGTCACATTCTACCACTTTACGGCACTCACCTCACCTTTCCTTTGTCCTTACCTTTATGTCTGTCTGACTCTTTTACATCTGTAAAACACTTCTCTTTGCTCTCCCCCTCCACTTTCTCGACTTTTTCTAAATTTGATCTTCCTTCATTCTGGGGTGCGCGATAGACTTAACTCCACGTGGTGCACCCTGGGCAACGTATACTTATACAGCAAAAAAGTCAATCGATCGACAGTTGACTTCTGACTTCAAATTTCTATGGCCCTACTATTTTTCATATTCGACCCCTTCCACAGTACTCATCTTTCCTTTTTTATGCCCTTGTGTCTGTCTGTCGCTTTTACCTCTGTGAATCATTATTCTGTCTCCCATCTCGACTTTTTGTCATTTTGATGTCCTTTCTCCGCTTCATGAAGCCCCGAAGTCAGCTCCAGGGCTAATGATAACTATCAAAACGCCTGTCATTTGATATAAATAAATGTTCCTTCATTCTCTGTCGAGCCCAAAGTCAACTAAAGTGTCAATGATGACTAACATAAAGCCTTCAATTTGATATAAATATATATATATATATATATATATATATA